CAGCCGCGAAAGCGGGGAAAGAACGTCATTCGAGCTTCGACTCGAAGAATGTCGACACTAAGAGTGCCGACTAGAGGAATGTCGACACTAAGAGTGCCGACGCACAACTGATGTGCAGCCTCTTTTTCCCTAGGGTGGGGAGGGCGGGGAAGAATTTTTTTCCAGCTCACTAAGAGTGAGCCCCGAACTGCTGCGGATAGAAAATTCTTCACATGCTTTGCACAACGTGAAACGCATGAGTAAAATGAGAGACTGCCAGTTTCAGAGGCATGTCTGCTAATTTTCTCTGCTGCCTTCCATGTAATTCTTTGCAAGCATGTTCTCACTGATGCTGTATTGTGTCAAGGGAACCCTTTTGCCAAGCTTTTGTCTTAGACAATGGCGCAACGCTACATGGAGCGCTGACCGGCGCTGCGGAAAAGCATTTGTGCTTTGGTGCGACCGAGGACAGCAGCAGAGTGCTGTCAGTGCTGTTGTGTATCAGCTCTCATTTGTGAGGGCTCAGAGTGCTACCAGAATTGGTAGCGGAGCCTTCCGCGAAAGCGGTTGGCTCAGGGGCCTTTGGACGTACATTTGGTCAGTTGCCAGACGATAGTTTCTTCAAGAAGGCGACGCCGCAGCCCAGCGGCAAGATGGATCGTGGCAATGACGCTGCATGTGCATCGTGGGATGGCTCCCAGCATTCGTGGAACGACTATGTCAGAAAAGTGAGACTTTAGTGGGCCAGAACTCCGGAAAAGCGCAAGGGCCTCCTGGGAGCAGAGCTGGTTTCCAGGCTTTCTGGGAAAGCGTGGGATGTGACACGTGAACTGGATTTTTCCCGTCTGCAGGACAGAGATGGTGCAGCCTATCTTCTGGAAGTGCTGGAGCAGCGGCTTGGACGGACCCCGGTCCCAGATTTGGGAATACGTCTGGAGCAGCTGTTTATGAGAACCAGAAGATCACCGGGACAGAGTATGTCCCAGTGGTCAGCAGAACTCAGAGAAGCTTACCGCAACCTGCAGCGGGCAATGGCAAGAGCGCGGGTAGGAAGCCCGACGAAGGCGGGCTCCCCCAAGGCTGGAGGGTCTGGCTCCCCAGCAAAGCTGAGTTCCACGGCGCTGCGGAGGAGATCATGGACCACGGCTGAACCCGAGCCGGGCTTCGGCTTGGATGATGACGACAGAGAAGAAGGAGAAGAAGACGCCGGTGAGCATCCTGATCATGAACTTCCTGTGGCAGATGAAAGGCGTACCGGAGCTCACTCCCGAGTACCTGGTGAGGCTTCTGCCGAGGAGATTCGCGCCTGGGCGGCAGAAGAATGGGAAGCCTGGTATTCCGGATGGAACGGACGTCGACGAGGGCGCTGGGAAAGTGCCAGCGAAGGAGGTTCGTCCCGAGCTAAGACACCTCTGCCTGAGCCTCGATGGGAACGCTTCGCTTTGGAGGAAGTGGAGGTGCTGCCACCAGAAATCCTCGGATGGTTGCTTCTAAGGAGGGCTAACTTGAGCAGTGCATCACGCCTCGCCATCCTTAGTGTGACGGGCAATAAGCTTGAGTTTGACCTGGTGGAGAAGGCTCTACGGGATCAAGAAGAAGACCTCCTTGCTTCAGAACGACAACGAGATCCCCGTGCCGCAAGACACCGTAGAAGCTACTGGGTGGAAGATCAGGGTGAATGGGGTCTTCTGGCTGAGGACGCTTTTGATGAAGCTCATGAGGGAGGCGATGCCTCCCTGGACATCCACTGGGTTGGCAGCCGACTTCCTGCTGAGGTGTACCCCGTGGATGAGATAGACGAAGAGTGGACCACCTACGGCCATGACGGTGCCGAGGTACACTGGGTCTGGTATGACAACGAGTGGCAGACCCAGGACGCTGAAGGCACCTGGTGGACCTGGTCGGATTCCAAGCCCTGGTTAGAAATCGACGAATGCATGGCTGTGGACCCTCAGTCCGGGAAGGAGTTAGCAGATACTTTCGCGACCTTCCAGGACAAGGTGAGGACCTTCCGCGAGAGCCGCAACCTCATGAAGGCCGCCCAGACGTCACGAGGTTTCTTTCCGATGAAGGGCAGCAAAGGCTCGAAGAAAGGACGTGCCAAAGGAAAAGGTTCTGGGCGCCCAAAAGGCAAGGGTGGCAGTGCGCTTGCCATCCAAGGCGATCGTGGGAGCTCCAGCTCCACCTCAGGACAGAGACCTGGACTGCCCGAGTACACAGGGTGTTTCATCTGTGGGTCTAAGGAGCATGACTTCAAGAGTTGCCCCAACCGCAAGCTCCCTGGAAAGTCCGGCGGTTCCGGGGGCAAGTCCTACTTCCTTGAAGGCGTCTCTCCCGACGACGCTCCCGAGGGCGAGTTTCGGGATAACCACACACCCATGGAAGAGCACAATCTCGAGGTCCCTGTGTATCAGCCGGCTGTCCCGCCTGACGATGCGAGCGGCGGTTCCGAAGGACTAGAGCTTCAGGATAACCACACACCCGTGGAAGAACACAATCTCGAGGTCCCTGTTTTTGCGTTAGATGCAGTGTACATGGTGAGCCCAATCGATAGACCAGACGATGAAGAGCATGAGTCTACTCCGCATCCAGATGGCGCTCTGCTGTGCAACACGGAGATCTT